CGGCGCCCCCTACTGAGGAAATGGAACGGTCTGGGCGGAGAGCGTGGTCACCAAGCAACACCGGGAAGGCCCCCACCCCCGCCTTCGGCTCGCTCAGGGTCCCATCCCCCAGCTCTGGGGCCGTCGTGTCCGGGTGGCCCCTTAGGTTTTCGCACCTGCGCGGCACTGGCTTGGGGGGAGGAGAGAGCTTGAAGAGGCCTGGTGAGAGGCCTAGGGGTCTGCGGCTCTCGGTCCGCTCACCTCCGTCTAGGCCGCTCTTGTCCCCATGATAAAAGAGAGGGTGATTCTTAAAGGTCATCGAGGGCATTCCTCTGAGTCCAGGGAAGTCTGCTCTTAAAAATAACCGATTATCTGAGGATGGGCTTTAGGAAGTCCATGAACCCCAGGAAACTATGTACAAAATTGTGGGGTGAGGGTGAGGGTGTTTGTAGATGTATTTTTGGAATAGCTTACCCATACTTTAATCAGCTCATCAAAGGGATTTTTACTAAAAAACTTGAAAAAGACAGAAAACACCCATTGGCTTAAACCATCTAAGAGTGGTGTCAGTGCTAAGAATTTCACCTGATAGCTGATTTCCAATGCTCCTCACCTGACTTGGCAGCTCAGGTTCTTCCTCAACTCTTTCTGAATTCTTTATGGCAATACCAACTGCAAAGCACTTTCGATATTCTGGAAAAATAAAGATTGCAGGAGGGTTCTATTTCAAAAACAGTGTGTGCTTGTGTTTTACTGGGGAGCAATTCAGATGTTTCAACAGGCCATCAACAGGTTAAAACCATTCTGTAACTCTTCATATGTGTTGAATAATGACCCTGCCTCCTAGGATCTGTCTTCAACCTCTCAGAACAGTCCAAATTTCAGATACTCACTTCTAATAGCGCATATGCTAGATCAATATTGAGTTGGAGGATATGGACATACTACCTCAGTCCCTATTCTTTGGCCTTTGTCTGTTGCTTTTTTCTGGGTCCTCTTCAGTTTCTACAAATTCTTTAAAAATCATAACATAGGTCGTGTATTTTTCCATTTATCTTTGTAAGATTGCAGAAATCTAAAATGACTGAGTATATTAAATGTTAATTGTATCCCATCTCTCGTCTATAAACAGTATACAAGAGGTTTACCGTAGGCTAGAAAACTAGAAATAGAACTTTAGGGCCAGAATAAACGATCACAATTATCTTGGGGTTAAACATGTCTATAACTGAATTTGAAATTTAGTTCTGGCCATGTTTCCTTTAAGCGTCTGGCCCCTTCTCTCCTTTGAGAACTGAATACACTCTTTTCTAATCTACTTTCTAAATAAACTTTATTTTCTAATCTATAAAAGAAATTTAGTTCTGAGTTTCCTGGATGCTAGGGCAAAAATGAAAACACAGTACATGTTGAATAGATTTTGTCATCTGAAAAGAATGAGTTCATCAGGGGAGACAGAGCACAGGGGTTTATTGGTTTTTTTTCCTGCATCACTGAAGTTTAAAGGTAGCTTCTCGTGTGACTGTATTAGGAAACAGTAAATGATGTAATAGAGCAATCAAGAAGATTTAAACAACAAATATGAAAGCAAAATTCATATGGATATTTTTTGCTATGTCTAATAAAAGCCAAAGACAGAGAGAGCAACCTAGTGATGATTATTTTTTTTAAGGACTTGTCTAATGTAGTCTAAGTAAATTGCTTTTTACGGTATAAACAGGTTCAAAGTTAGTGCTTAGAATATTTGAAAAGTATGTCTTTGGGTAGTCATTCTAAATAGCACTTCTTTAAACTAGGGATTTGCTAAGTGCTTTGATAGTCATTGTCTTCTCTGTGATCCTTTAAAACCTTGAGCATGCCTTGTAATATTAGTGCTTTATTTATTTATTTTATTTTTTGAGTTGGAGTCTCACTCCATCACCCAGGCTGGAGTGCAGTGGCATACTCATGGCCACCCCAGTATCAACCTACTGGGCTCAGGCGATCCTTCTGCCTCAGCCTTTCAAGTAGCCGGAACCATAGGCATGTGCTACCATGCCTGGCTAATTTTTTGATTTATTGTAGAGATGAGGTCTCACTCAAGTCGCCCGGGCTGGTCTTGAACCCACAGGGTCAGACAATCCTCTCTCCTCGACCTCCCAAAGTGCTGGCATTACAAGCTTGAGCCACCATACCCAGCCAATATTAGTGCTTTAAAAGAGAAAGTCTTTTGTTTATATATCTGACTGTACTTCAAAACTGTAAATTCCTTGAGTATAATAATCAGCTCTCATTCATCTATGTTTCCCCATCCCCAACCCAATGTTTGAAGACAGTAGGGGTAGGCACAGAATAAATATTGGTCAAATGAATAAATGGCAATTATTTCAAGGTTAAGTCTCTCTCTTTCTCGCTGTCTCTCTCTGAAAGCTGATAGTCCACATTGGTGTATAAGGGTAGATTCAGGTGATTCAGAAATCAAACAAGTAGATGGTATATCCTATTATCTGTTGCAGATGATGGTGGCCCAACCAGAGAGATGCCCTTGAGAGAAGCAGGATGGGTTGTTCCAAAAGGGCCATTCAGCGTGGTATCTCCTTATGAGTTCACCACAGTCCAGGCCTGCTGTGTTTGACATATCCAGACCCTTGGCCAGACACACACACACACACACACACACACACACACACACACACACACACACACACACACACACATTATTGAGTATCTACTGTGTGCTAAACATTATACTATCATCCTATTATGATTGAAGATACTATGGTATAAAAAGAGGTTTGCTTTCTCCCTTTTAGGGCTTCCCATCTGTTAGAGATGGCAGACATAAATCAAATAATTACAACAACAAATATATATATAACTGCAAACTGTGACAAGTACTATGAAGGAAAAGGACAGGATGTGACGAGAGCTTGCAACCCAGAGTCTTAACTTGTCTTGGAGAGAAATAAAAACTTCCCTAAAGAAGTGACATTTGATCGCTGGGTGCAATGGTTCACACCTGTAATCCCAGCATTTTGGGAGGCCAAGGTGGGAGGACTGCTTGAGCCCAGGAATTCAGGGTCAGCCTGGGCAATATAGGGAGACCTCGTCTTAACTAAAAATCAAAAGATTAGCTGGGCATGGTGGTGTGTGCCTGTAGTCCCAGCTACTCAGGAGACTGAGGTGGAAGGATCACATGAACCCAGGAGGCCGAGGCTGTAGTAAGTTGTGATTGTGCCACTACATTGCAGCCTGGGTGACACAGTAAGACTCTGCCTCAAAAAAATAAACAAAACCAATAAGAGTGACATTTGAATTAAGAGCTGATGAATCAGTAAGAGTTAACTATGCAAAGAGAGGATCAGAACACCAGCGGGGTCAGCACATATGAAGGCCTGTGGTCTCATTGTTTGAGGAATCAAAAGATGTCTCAAGTGACTGTGGTACAGAATATTTATGTGAAGAGTCAGGGAGAAAAAAAGGTGAGGAAGGCATAGCAAGGAGTTTAAATATAATCAGATATTACATTTGAAAAGATTTCTAGGCTGGGCTCGGTGGCTCAGCCTGTAATCCCAGCACTTTGGGAGGCCGAGACGAGTGAATTGCTTGAGCTCATGGGTTTGAGACCAGCTCAGGCAACTTGATGAGACCTCGTCTCTACAGTAAATAAAAAATTAGGTGAGTGTGGTCGCGCGTGCCTGTAGTTCTGGCTACTTGGAAGGTTGAGGCAGAAGGATCGCCTGAGCCCAGCAGGCTGAGGCTGCGGTGGCCATGAGTGTGCCACTGCACTCCAGCCTGGGCGACAGTGAGACTCTGACTCAAAAAAAAAAAAAAAGATTTCTAACTGCAGTAGGGAGAACAGTTTGATGGAGAACAGGGATGGATGGAGATTAATAAAGAGGTTATTGTATCTGTCACAATGCATGCCTTGTAATATTAGTTTTATAATATTACAAGGAACCTCCCAACACACACAAATTACTTCATATCTGAGTTGAGAGATTTTTTTTGTTTTTTATTTGTTTGTTTGTTTTTCTTTGAGTTGGAGTCTCACTGTCACCCAGACTGGAGTGCAGTGGCCACTCCTGGCCACTGCAGCCTCGACCCACTGGGCTCCGGCGATACTTCCGCCTCAGCCTTCCGAGTAGCTGAAATTACAGGCATGCGCTACCACGCCCGGCTAATTTCTTTTATTTATTTATTTATTTATTTATTTATTTATTGTAGAGATGAGGTCTCACCAGTTGCCCAGGCGGGTCTTGAACCTGCAGGGAGGTGTTTTTATGCTGGTTTACTTGTGAAAGCTCATCAAGAGGTCTGAGGTTCTATTTATTGGTGCCAGGTATGTGATTAGGCTAAAGGTAGTGTTGGGAATGAAAAGAAGGGAGAATACTATCTTCCAAAATCTTTCAGGATTCTTTGTCCAAAGTTTCCAAAGAAGTTGGCTATATTTCCCATCTTCTTTTATGTACCTTCCACTCACACTACCCATTACCCCATGCCTATTTAGCCAATGCTCCTCCCATCTACTAAAACCCGTAAGGTCACCAGTGACTTCCATGCTATGGAGGAAATAGACGGATATGAAAAAAGTTTGGGAAATGAAGTGGACAGATCTTGGTTAGGATTAATATGGAGGTTAAGGAAATAAACGACTAGGCTTCTGGTTTTCTCAGAACCATATTCTGAGAAAGTTTTCATTGACTGGCCGATTCCCAGCACTTTGGGTGGCCGAGGTGAGAGGATTGCCTGAGCCCACGGGTGGAGACCAGCCTGGGCACAATAAATCAAGAAAAATTAGCCGGATGTGGTGGCTTGTGCCTGTGGTTCCAGCAACTTGGAAGACTGAGGCAGAAGGATCACCTGAGCCCAGCAGGTCAAGGCTGTGGTGGCCGTGAGTGTGCCACTGCACTCCAGTCTGGGCGACAGAGACTCTGACTCAAAAAAAGCAAGACAAAACAAAACAAAATCAGACAGAGAAGGAAGATGGGTTTGGTTCTGAACATGTTGAATTAGCTGTTTCTTTAAAGCATCACTTAGGAGTCTTAAGTGGGGGTATTTGTATGTAAATATGTGGGTCTGGAATTCAAGAGAGGCCTGAATTGAAAAAAAAAAGTTGAGTGAGTCATTGGTGGAAAAATGGTCTTTGAAGTTGCAGGGGCAGCTGGGATTGTTTAAGGTAGAAATTCTTAGCCTTTTCTTGTGTGCCATAAACCCTTTTTCTGAATGTTTTTAAGTGCATAAAACAAAACACATATGATTACAGAGGAATACAGTTATTAAAAATGTATGCATATATATTTTTTATGTTTATATAATTATATATTTATGTATTTATAT